AGTTAAATATATTATATAGTTATAAATTTCGTTTAATTCAAAAAATTAAAGAGACAAATGAAACACCATTATATATAAAAACAAAATAAAAAGCATTTAAACCCTTATTCATTTGGTTTATTGGGCTATGGGAATGGGAATGGGAATATCTTCCACCAAAGCGAAGGCAAAATGACGAACAGTTGGCCCCAAAACAAGCATAGTATTCAGCTCCCCACTCTTTATCTACACGTCACCAAACTCCAAAACCCACTATCGCATCTATTCCCAAGTGCCGTACAATCACATAATGCATTTCAAAAGAAGCTTCTTTTTCTCTTTTTTATTTGTATATACTATAGTTCATATAAATTTAAAAAATAAATAATAATAAACGTTAAAGAAATATGAAGATGTTACATTTGGTTAAGACCACTTCCTCTTGTATATTTAAAGCATAACAAGAAGAACAATAACATTATCACTATAAAATTATTTATCATAGATGGAAATACTGAATCAAGATTTATATAGTTAACTGATAAATATAACGATGTATATACACTTACATCTTTAATGTCTTGCTCTGTTAAAACACCATTTTTAAGCATGGTGGCTGCAACATATACAGCGAGACTGATTTTATTCGGGAATTTATGAGTTGCTTGTGTCACGCTTAATCCCCCAGCACTATGTCCCACTAGGATCACCTATAGTAATGATTTTTGTGTTATTTAAGAGTGTTTATATATTTTGTAACAAAAAGTCAAATAACTGGTACATCATTTCAAATAGATAATTATTATTATGATTAAATGGACAAATTAATGGCCAACTTCCAATTCCTTTCCTTCTGTTTCACACCCAATTTTGCACGATCTTTACATAAAATATGATTAATTTATTACACTTGAATCATACATACAATGCATGGTTTGTATTATAGTTTGAGAGCAATGCATCCTCATATGCATTAGATATTGTACATGAGGCCTAAAGAGTTGTACATACCTTTTGATGTGGAGGCAAGGAAGATAAGAAATGAAGGAGAGGCTCGTTGTATTCATCAAAGGAGAGGATTGTGTTAGGGTCAGACGGATGTATGCCTGCCCCTTTGAGGTCTATGCAAGTCACCATGTATCCAGAGTTGTACATCATGCTTTTCAGCTTGTACCAGCACCAACTTCCTCCACTTATGCCATGGATGAGCACAAAGTGTGGTGGCTTCAATGGAGTCTCCTCTCTCTCCCCCATTCTCTCTCTCACTTTCTTTATCTCTCTTTCTCTCTCATGTTCTACTTGTGGGTATTTATATAAATTTCGATCATATGTTTTGTTATTTGTGTTTGTTTTTTTGTGAATTTTATGTGCTGAGTGGTTGGAATAAACACATCAATGGGACATGTCATACATCATTTATCCAAAATAATATGTTATGATATGATATAAATGTAATCTTTGATTTTTGTGCAACCCGAGAGATCAACATGTAGAGGGAAAGAAATTATGACTTGAGTACTTGCTTATTTAGTGATTTGTTTTACAAATTATTATTATGATACAATAATCAGTCTTATATATATATATATATATATATATATATATATATATATATATATATATATATATATTTAAATTGATTCCGAATATATATAAAAAAGAATTTATTTTTTATAAGTGTATTCTAAATTTAGCTAACAATTATGTAATTTCGCTTCTGATATTTAAAGTTACAACTTATATCCAAAGTTCCAAACACCTCGTGAATGGATGTCAAAAAATTAAATAATTATCCCATTGAAGATATTATTTGATAACGTATACATGTACAGTTTTGAAAAGAAAATTAGTTTGGATATTGAACACGACATGCTTGACAAAACATGTTGTCAATCACAAGCTAGAAGTTGTTAGCAATAGTTGAAAGCTAAAAGTTATAGATTTTATTTATTTAGAAGTTTGTCACAATTAGTTATTAGCTTTTAAATCTATAAATTAATTAAAACTAAAAAGTAAAATGAAAAGCTAAAAGCTCACAAATACTGTTTGAAGTAGCTTTTGTATTCAGAATCGTTTAAAATAAAAAATAAAAATATCATGTCGTCAAACGAAACCTTTTTTTTATTTTCAAGTTTTTTCTTAAAAATTCTAAAAGGCTCAATGCCAAATACACCTTATATCCTTTGTGATATTAAATTTAATTAAACAAATGATAAAGTAATGGTTAATTATTTCAGATATTATACGTAAGATTTTCTTATTGGAAACCAATATTTATTCTCGCCGACATGAAATGAAAAAATAACATTATAAAGAAGTAACCTTTAGTCAACTTATAAGCATGTAATCGACAAGGATTTTTCTTCTTTAAGTTCATTTCTAAATAAAATAGATTCTTTTAATGGTTCAAAAATTTAATAACTTTTCATATAATGTCATAAACGATCTTAGAGCGAAGACGGCTATTATATAAGGCTACCCAGCAAAACAACAACGGCAAAAACAAAAGCCACACACATTAGAATAACTTATTATTATTTTCAAGGTATGGATCTCAACAAGACTGATATAATAAGATTTTTTAATATACATAAATAATTGAATGTTTTTGTAAACCTTATAGATATCACATCCAAGACCGACAATTAGTCTCATTTTTTCAGTACCGTGTATGGTATTCTTTTGTTTTTTATTTTGTAGGTCCAAAACATCCTCTTATACGTTTGAATTTTTCGTTATTGTAGGCCGGTATTGCAAATATGTATTAGCATGTTTTACAAAACTAACTAACTGGTAACTGAAAACTGTAATTTTTATTTGTTATATGAGTGTTTAATAAAAAAATAATTGAAACCTTTGAAGTATGTAAAATTACATAAAAGGGACCGTCTAAAATAAGAATCATGATGACAATTAAAATTAAGGACAATTTTAGAAATTGATTAAAAAGTCCAATTGTTTTTTCTTTAACGCTACATGAAATAGTTTTTTAGATTTTGAATTTTTTGTTTAAACCAAAAGTTAAAGTTTGTACTATTAAACGAAGTTTTTTTTTTAAATCAAGTTTTTTATTAAAAAGCTAAAAGTTAGAAACTCCTAAAAACTTGCACAAACACGCTCATAATCAGTAAACTCATCAATTTGAATTTGGATGTTTTTAACAAAAGTATTAGATATAAAAATGGATTTTCACTTATGTTTTTGATCCATCCATTAAATGTTTTGACTTTTACACACTTATATTATTCTTTCTACTTATATTATTCTTTCTCTTAGTTGAAATGAAATGTATGAAAATCAAATAATATGTTTTAAGCCAATAAATAAAAAACATAAAAAAAATTAATTAATTACAAATTTTGTCACTACTTGACTTTTTGTAGTCTATACTCTATAGTTATAGTTTATTGAGTTTTTATATTGTTGGTCCGGAATAGTTATATTAATGGTTTCACTTTGATCCATAAAGATGTGTTCTTGAACTTAGCGAAATTAAGAAAAGTGCATGGAAATTCATGCTCTCGATAATTTTTTTAAGAAAAAAATAAAGTTTTGATTAACTTTCACGTAAAAATGTTACACAAGTGTAACCATTTCAATTTTCAAAGAGAAAGGAAAGTGGAATATTCTATAAATCTTGAACTGCTAACAATTTTCTTCAAAATGTTAAAGCAATTTACGTAGGGAGGGTATACGAGATGCTAGACATTGAAATTAAATTTATTTACACAATGGTAAGGTTGAATATATATATATATATATATATATATATATATATATATATATATATATATATATATATATATATATATATATATATATATATATATATATATATATATATATATATATATATATATATATATATATATATATATATATATATATATATATATATATATATATATATAACTCGGGAAGGGGATTGGGATTTCAAGTTTAGTGGGGTAAGACTGATATCCACATAGAAGAACCAATAAGGGGTTCTAACCAAGCACAAAGCACTCCATTAAATTGTGATATTACACTAAATCGGCAACAAATTATGTTAAGGACTCTTGTAAGTATATTTCACATAAAATAAAATCTATTAAAAATTGGTCTTCAATCTTGACAATTTGTGTGTTAAAACTTAAAAGGATAAAAAGAAGATGGGTGTGGTGGACGGGAAATCTTTGCAAGGGCCAAGGATATTTAGAGAAGGCATGGATTGTTAGGCTTTGAGGACACATTGCACGTTAGCAGGTGATGGGACTCCTCTGCGCATCCTTTGGCATAAGATTCTTTGGAAAAGAATGCATCAATGGTTTTTGTTTCTATTTTCTTTTCATTTTATTTAATATGGGATAACTAATAATTGTGACATGTAAAATAAAATTATTTAATACATAGATTTTATAAAATATCTTTGATTAAAATATGAAATTTTACGTAACTATTTCTCAAAATATACCAATAAGTTCACTAAATAGTAACGCTATTGGTTGTAATGATAAGAGAAACATTTCTTCAAAAATAACGAAATTTGCAAATACCATTTTGCGAGAAGTTAATGTGATACTTTCAAAAAATAATAATCATCATTTCGTGATTTGAACACATTATCCAAATACTAGTTATCAGAATTCACACCCTACGATAAAGACCCGAAATTTTCTAACAAGTGACAAATGACTCTTACTTTTCTTTTACTTTTCATTTCTTTTGATAACATATAGTGATGTTTCAAAAGAAATTAGATATAACCTGTTACATATAAGAACAATTCTTATCCTCCTCACACATAAGATTTCAATCAACTTACTAAACACTAAACATTTCTTCCATCCTAAGGGGGAGGATGATCAAACTTGAAAACTAACAAATGAAATCAACAACTGAAAACACAAGGGATCAAGACCACTTGTATAATATACATAATAATGATCCTCATCAATTGGTTAAAAATATGTGTCTAAATCGCCTGTTGACTTTTCACTTCAAGCAACCACAGGCTGCTACTTCTTTGAACTTTGATGATGATGATGATGATGATGATGATGATGCCATTCATACATTTGATTATATTTTCTACATAAGTACAACAAATAAATAAATATTTCTGTTGTTGAGCGAAAGCATAATAAGTATGTAAAATAGTACCTTGAGAATAATAGTAAGAGAGAGCATCATTCTCTTTTGTCTTCTTCAAGAACCTCAAAAACATGATCTGTAATGACTGCAGGTTTCCTCTCTATCAAGTCTCCTGAAACTTTGACTCCACTTCCGGTCAAAGATATGCCATCTTCTTCTATGTCCTCAACCTCCGAATACGAATACCTGCACGCTTGCAAAATGACAATATTACCCCCCCAAAGATTCCATGTTTGACTTTTGAGAGTCAAAAGACTAATTAATTTATACCTTGTGGGATTACGGGAAGGAGCCCATAGAATACATATCACCACCAATAGTACATAAGCCAACACAGCCCAGAAAGCTTGTATGATCCAAGCTCTTTGCCATAATTCACTCAAGGGATCACTTGCATTGAAGTACAACTAAATAAAAAAAAACATCAAAGATTAACCCCCAAATACTTTGTCACCCATATATGTCATTAACCCTTAAAAATATATATTAAATGTACCTCATAGCCAATCCAAGCAACAGAAACTAAAACTGATACAGCTAAAGCATTAGTAAACTTTCGGTATAGTTCAAGTTTACCCATGTTTCTCCTTGTCTACATAAAAAGAATATAATTAAATCAAAGTCCATTGCAGAAAGAATTAACAGTGAGAATACCTGAAGCTTTTCCAGAGTTTTAGATAAAGATGAAAAGATCCAAAGAATGAAGCAAGAATCCAGTAGAGCAACAGGTAGAACAAGAAAGACTCTTGCTTTCCCAGAAAAATCATTGATATTTCCAAGATTTTCAACAAGTTCAAGAGCTTCAGAAGCCACAAAATATATCAAACCAAGAAGCAACACTTTCAATGTTACACCTCCTAAAGTGGGTCGCACCACACCAAAACCCATTGATACAACTAGAAGAAGAAGGCGAGAGAAAGTCTTCTTAAAAGCACTGAAAGTAACTGCCCAAAGAGTGATTCCAATTGGTCTACTTCCTGTGGCATTGAAATTTGCATACTCAAAATACCAAAGAGCCATCTCACACATTCCAAGACCAATAACCATTGTGATGTGGTAATGCAACTGGATTATATCCTTCCAATGTTGAACAAATCGAAGAAACCATAAAAGACCAAGAATGAGATAAGTTAGAGACATGAATCCAAAAAACGGCATCAATGGTGTCATCTTCCCTGGTAGATAACCATTTGGGTTTCTCCAAACTGTTCTTCCACTCATTGTTGTACCCTTGAGTTGTGGATCACATAACATAAAGTAAAGATAATACATTCCTGTTCTATTGATCTCAACGGTTTGTAACAACATCTTTGCTTCTTCTTTTTTGCCCTCAAAGGGGGTTTGAATACGTTTAGGCCAGCCAGGGTTGTCAGGATCTTGGCGAATAATTACTTCTCCTACCTTACATGAACCATCATTTGCAAGTTCAGGTGTACAACATATAGCGTTTGAATTTAAATATGAACCCCCAATTTTATCACGGTTTTTCACTTCAACAAGTATAGCTTCAACCAAACCAGTACTCTGTTGCATCTCGTTCTGTTTAGCAGCAACCTCCTTCGGTCTTCGAAAGATGATAGACTCGAACCTTGAATCATATGGCAAATTGAATGAGTGAGACTTTACATTCCATGGAAGTAAACGAGGATCCAGTTTAAAGTAAAAGATATCTCTCTAGTTCATATTCACAAAGGATTTTAGTACATTTAACACCAAATTATTTTGTTTGCACGTAATGTAGTTATGTAGTAAGTAAATTTTCTTCAAAAGCGTAATACGTATATCAGTTTTGGAATCAGATAACTGTTTATCTGGCATTTAAAGTCAAAACGTTTTGTTGGGGGATTGAGAGAGCTATCAGCTTTATCCCCTCACACACATAAGGGAATCTGATAATCAGTTATTGATTTCAAAGCAACAATGGATTCCACCGCATCACAAAGCACAGGACGTTAGGATTAAACTGTAGATCAGAAATCAAAATTAGAGAAGGAAAAAGGTTTGTACCGTACGAAGGATTTGCCGTTTATAGGTTTATCTTTGGTAGACCCATTATTATGTACCTTAGAAGCATACATTCCCTCACTACCTCCATGAACGAAGAAGGAATTGAATCGAGGTATGAATCCTTCATTCTTATATTCGTGGATCGAACCTTTTACAACATCAATCACCGATAAACTCAAAAGAGAAATCAAAATCCCTATTTGATAATGCTTGTATGAGAAAAACTCACAATCATTACTACCTCTAATGAATCTCATCTTCTTCTCTCCCGATATATATCTATCAATCACATATGCAAATGCGATTCTCTCTCGCTCTCTCGAAAAATGTACGAAGAAGATGAAGTTTGATGAGTACTCCGTTGCTACAGAACAACGTTTATTATTTCACAGGTAATTAATGTTTATTTTTATTATTCTTTATGCTCTCCTTTCCCAAAATAAATCCAAGAGTATTAATATGGTAATAAATATCTTCTAAAAGTGTAAATGTTCTATAAATATATAACGACTAAAATAAATATTCAAACTTTGATTTTATTAATTGTAAATTTATGACTTTATTAACATAAAATAACAAAAAATGAAAAATCTTTACAACTTTGGTATGCTAAAAGTAATATATATATATATATATATATATATATATATACACTAAAGTCTCAATATTATCATTGATTTAATAAAGTCATAAACTTTATTATTTTTTTAAAATAGTAAAATCCTAATTGACGGTAATTTTTTATGCATTTACCTTTTTTTTTCAGTTAACCAGAAATTATGATTTTATTGTCAAAAAAAAATTAAAGTTAAACGGCTTTCTTATCAAATCGTAAATTATGATTTTACTGTCAAAAAATAAAGTTTATGATTTTCTTATTAAATCATTGAAAATATTAGGAAATTTAATGGTATGATAGTCTAATCAAAGAAATAGTCATATACAATAAAATCTCAATATTTTCAACAATTTGATAAAAAAAATCTTAAACTTTACTTTTTATAGTAAAAATCTTGATTCATGATTTGACAAGAAAGTTTTAAACTTATTTATTTATTTATTTATTTATTATTATTAACAATAAAGTCTTAATTACCGGCTAACCGGAAAAAATGAAAAATATGTCAAAAATTACCAGTAATTAAGACTTTACTATAAAAAAAATAAAGTTTATGATTTTCTTATCAAATCGATGAAACTATTGGGACTTTTTGTGTATATATTCCTAAAAAGAACTCCAAAATAGTGAATTTTTCAAATATATGGATACATCCAAATTATTTGGATCATAATGAAAAAAAATATATAATTGCGTTACAATAATAATATACAATATTATTAGAATAAAAATAATATAATGTTAATATCATTATATACCCACCAATTATCATTTTCAGTTTTAAAATGTCTTTTATGCTTTTTTTTCATTGTAACTCCTTAAACTTCAAAATTACAGATCAAATAGAGGAATATCGAAAAATAAATAGGTCCTTCGGTTGCTTAAATGAGTTGGCGTCTACATGACATGTTTGTCAACTAAAGTTGTCAATGTAGCGTCCATCTAGGTTATTTCGTGTAAGAATTAAAAATTAATCTCTCTCTCTCTCTCTATCTATCTATCTATCTATCTATCTATCTATCTATCTATATATATATATATATATATATATATATATATATATATATATATATATATATATATATATATATATATCTGTGTGTGTGTGTGACCATGTAACACCCGTATTCACCTTTCAATAGGATTCAATATAATCCGTCGTTTTATAAAATTGGAAATAGAAATACATTACTCTTTAAACCAATTAATCGTCATAAACATGTAGGAAACATCGATACGATTTTCGTAGATATATAGAACATTTAAACCGACTTTGTATGAAGAAGTTATGTTTATTCGAAGTTTCCCAATTAAACCAAAATGGTTATGCGTATCGTAACAAGTGATTATTTGATAGATTACTTATTAGCCCAATTGATTTGAACGGAAGTCGTAGTAGTCGTAAAACCGAGCGCGTGGATATAAAGAACGTTCAAATCTGACTTCATGGGATGAAGTTATGATTTTTCGAAATTTTAGTGAAGTAGTACGGACATAGAAATCGGAATTCAAAACAACTGATTGTTAACCGAAATAATCTAAACGAGAATTGAATATCTCATGAATAAGAACTCGTGGATATAAAGACATTCGAGAACGGAGTTCGTATGAAGAAGTTATCAATTTCGCACGGACTTTATAGTCGTATGCGAAAGTTATCACAAGTCTAAGTCCGGATGATTGCTATTATCAGAGGTCTAACTCCGGTATGGTTCTCCTGTAAAAAGAAAGTAAAATACAAGAAAAGAGTCCCAATGGAAGCGTGAAAATTAAAAAATGTTGACACGGGGAAAGTTTTCAAGGTTAATGGACATTAATTGAAGCCTTTCTATGGATTTTTTGATGCAAATGTCCAATTCATAGTCCATTTGGAGACCCTAAAATATTGAGGAAAAGTTGGTAAGACGTCTCGCCGAAGACGTTAAAGGAGAGCATTTTTTGGGAAGCATTGTGCTTTCGTCTTTTATAAACCGAATAAAATGATTTCGATAATGTTTTTTTTTTTTTGAAAGTGTTTATTTTTGAAATTTTTTATGCTTTATACTCACCTTTGGTCCAAACTTTTGTTGTGTTTTTGAAACCGGGACTTTACGAGAATCATTTTGGCCAACAATCAAGTTTTTAGAAAAAAAATCAAATTTGAAGTGCATGAAGTTGTGCGGCCCATGTGAGGATCCCATGCAGCCCGTGTAAGATCACGTGCAACTTATTTGTGGCCCATTCCTTGCCCGCGTAGAAGAATTACCTCTAACCCTTTTCAGCACATGCGACTAGCGTGCGGGTTCCATGCGGCCGGCATAGCTGGTTTCAACACTTAGTACTTTTTGAGCTCCAGTTCACGCGACCTTTAAATGGCCATTACGCGGCCCACACAAAAAGAAGATCAATGTTCTGGTCAATCAGTTAACTTGCAGAAAAGAAGAAGCACTAGACGCGGCCTCTACATGGCCTGTGCCCTACCCACATAAGCTGTGATGATCGGAATTTAAGTGGGTTGACTTCTGTTGACCAACGTTGATTGAGGTTGAGTATCTTGACCAGATAAATTAAATGGCATCCCTTTTGCTTCCTTACCCCCATCGACTTCTTCTTATTCTTCTTCTTCCCTACATATTCTTTTCCCTCTCAAGAACACCCATCTTCATTGAAGCGCCACACAAAAACTCGATTTCCCGATGATCTACCAGTCGGAATCCCGTGAGACCACCGCTTCATACATTTTCCACCGCCCGATCCTCCGATTTAGGTTATTTCTTCCCATACCTTAAGCATCGAGGACAATGCTTGCTCTTTAGCTTAGGGTGGGGTATTTCTTTTTTCCTTTTACTTTTTCATGCATTTTTTTAGTTAGGTTGCATATCATATTAGTTTAAGCTAATTTGCATTTATTTTTATTATAAAATTCCAAAAATATTTTATTTTCTTCTTTTCCATTTTTTATTTTTGTATAACATTTAGCTTAGGACATTAGCATGCATGCATTTTTGTTGTTTGTTTATTCTCACCCCATTGGATTCCATGGAACATGTTCATAGTTATTGTATCATTATTGGTCTAGGATATTGTTGTTATCTCACACATCGAACCGGGACCATTGGGCCGCAGTTTGGGACTCCATACTTGGGATCAACTGCTGGAGCTTAAAGGGGTAAGTGATTATTGACATATAGTTTTCATGAAGAATTTTGAATGCAATACTAACAACTGTAGGATATATACTATATCAATGAATGTTCTTACTCTACGGTCCATGCCGCCAAGAGGATCACACTTGATCATGTTTGAATCATTAGGATGAAGCATTGGTGCTTGCCCATGAGTAGAATCCATATATAGTCTCTTTACATCACCATATTTTTTTGATGTTTCCTTAGGTTTTTAGAGTCTTTAGCCTACATTTAGACATTTTCATTATATTTGGAAAATCACAAGTCTGAAAAGAAGCCTACATCTCTATGCTCAACATATGATCATTTTCACACTTAGACCATTCGGATTATTACTACCTTTTAGTTCCACTTACACACTTTTGGAAACTAATTTTCGAGTCAAAATGTTTTCTTGATAATTTTTTTTTGATATGTTAGTGCATTACTTTCAAGTATCTTATCAAAAATAAAAAAAATAAAAACATAAAACAAACTTTCAAATAAGAATAAAGAGAAGCTTAAGCAAGCAATTTTAACTTGCATCGAGAAGAATAAAGGTCAAGATGAGAGGTTTATACCTCCAACATCTCAGAAATCTAAAGAAGATTATGATTCCAAGTTGATCCCTTACACCAAAATGATATTTCTCCTTCCTCAAGCTCCACCAAAATCCAAAAACAAGGTCTTCAATCAAGCAAACAAGCTCTTAAACGTCCATAAAGGCTAGGGTTTCGTGTTGAAGGTTGGAGGCTGAAGAGGACGCCCTAATCCTTGAGATTAGGTGCTTAAAGATGGAGGAACGTCTAAAATTTTATGGGTTTGAGCTGAAGCAGTTGCCACATCGTGGTGGCCATCAACTACGTGTTTTATGTATTTGACATGCCACATCATGGTGCTCCATTCACCACGTTATGGCACTAGATTTTTCCCAAAAGTCAAACATTTCATCTAAGTCGTCAGCCGACCCATCCCGAAAAATGGGTGTTACAAGATCACAATTGGAAGGGGAAAATCGTCATAGGAAGAGCTCTCAACTCCTCAAATCGTGATATGAAGAAATGAGTGGGAGGAATGCATCTTATTTGTTAAGTTTCGTTCTACTCTCAAGAATGCTTGTTTTGCCAAAACAATCCCATTTAACATATTTGTTAAATCTAACTTTGAAAAATTTCAAACACTATCACAATTTTGTCACTTTTTACATTCAAACTCTAAATATTATAAATTCAAACATTTAATTTTCCAGATAGCTTTTAAACTATTACTAAGATCCATTTTTATTCTTCACATTATTCTAATTCGTTTAGTTATCTATTTATCATTTTTTTAAAAATTAAATTTACTAAAAAATTCTAGCAAAAAAAAAATCAAACGTTATGAAAAAAGTTTGAAGACAAAGTATGAGAAAGAAAGAAATGGTAAAAATGAGTGAGAGAGATGTTCAATGAATAATAGTTAGGTGTGGTTTAGGTGCGCTTTGTGGGTTGTGAGTGGTGGGTGGTGGGGTGCGCTTTGTGGGTTGTGGGTGGTGGGGTGCGTCTTATTTATTTGTTTATTTATATATAAAATTAAAATTAGTTAAAAAAAAAAAAATTATTTTAAAAAAGATAGAAATTCCATCTTATATTCATTTAGGATTAAAATTTAAAACCAAAATAACTAACCCTGTAAAAAAATTAATGACCGAAGTTATAATATTTATAATCAACATAGATCATTTATCTAACTTTGTCATTAAAGTATTAACGTTTAGTGATGCATTTTGATAATACGCGGCAACATTCATCCATTTGTAAACCCCATCTCAATTTTTGAATTTCAAAACTTAACCAAACCACAAACATACGCTTTCGATCTCTATTATTACTATTTTTACTTTAAATTTAAACGAATAAACAAATCCCTCCGATCTCTCACACACAGCCCAACACGTGATTGCTTTGCTTTCATGTCACAAGATTTGTAATTCGAAGACAATCGAAAAGCTTTGTCAGCGCGCTTTCATACAAATTCAAATAAATTTCTTTCTACTTATACAACTCCGCCAGCAACCAGTTAGGCGCCCTACTTCATCTTAACATTAACCCTAACCCTAACAAGTAATAGCAATCGATTCATCCTTTCTCTGATTTTAGCTCCTCTTTAGATAGGTAGCTTGAGTTATTTTCTTTTTGCTGACGTTGAATCACCATTTCGCGATAGTTTTGGCTTTGTGTACAGTGATGGATGTTGGTGGAGCGAGATTTAAATTCAAGGTATGTTGTCCGTCGATTTGTGTGGAATTAAGTTTAGATCGAATTTGTTTTGGTGTTTGCTTGAATTGATGTATCTTGGATTGATTTTCGTTGTTAATTGGTTTCTGCAGAAGATGAAGTACGAAGAATTTGAAGAAGAATGGGCAAAACCCTGCGATTTTAGATCGCGGTTTTACTTGGAAGGTATTTCAATCATCTTCTGGTTCGTTTTGTTGTAATGCGCAATAAGCACTATAATTTTACAGATCTTGATGATATCATTGCTTGAACTAAAAATTATCAAATTATGGAAGCTAGTAATCTGAGATAAAATCTATCGTGAATAGGTGAATCGGGGAAGAACACTCATTCAAAACATGAACTCAATGCCAAATCCAACAATTTACCCCTTGATGATGCTCCATCATGTATTGAATCCATGAAAAGTTGTGAGAAACCAAGAAAAATAAGTCTCGATCTTAACTCAGAAGATGTTTCAAGTTCTGAGTGTGGAAGCACTTGTGGCTTTATGGGAGAGAAAGAGTCGATGAGAATATGGAAACAAATGAAACAAAATGGTTTTCTTTCATCCTCTAATGGCGGTGTATTGGTGCCACAAATGCCAAAGCCCCGTGGGAAGAAAAGGGGAAGCATATCAGTGATCAGTAAAAAGATAGAGATCGCTAAAAAAGAACAAGTCGATAAATTTGCAAAAGTTGCTGCTCCTAGTGGACTTTTAAACGAATTGAATCCTGGGATTATAAACCATGTAAGAAACAGAAGACAGGTTCATTCGATAATAGAGAATCTTGTAAGATCTTCAAGAAACAAGAACAAAATTAGTAAGGACGTTGAAGATGATGTTCTTGCACTGAAGCTTTCATCTGATTCAACCATGGCATCAGAGAATATAAGCTCTTTGTCGAATGAGGAGTCAGGGAATATCTCTACTGTTGATTCACTTTCTATTAAAGGTTAGTTTTAAATATTTTATAAGCAATTTCATCTTCTTCTTCTTCTTCATGTTACATATGAGAGATCGTTGTTTTTTAGCTGCAAGTGTAGCCTGTCAATGGTTGGAACTTGTTCATCAGGACATTAAAGGGCGTCTTGCAGGTAATGTAGAGATCATAACTTCGTAATTCCAGATATGTTTTTAGTTTAGATTTTGAAAACGGTTTTTGATTCTGTTATTGCAGCATTAAGGCGAAGCAAGAAAAGAGTTCAATCTGTGATTCAAACAGAGCTACCTTTCTTAATATCAATGGAGTTATATTCACCTGTTGGCATTGAGATGCATAGATTCAGATGGACTGCTCTTTTTGATCAGATGGATAAATCACTTTCTGAAGAAGAAGAACATCTTGTGAGTCTTGCAAGTTGCAACATATGTTAATTTTGGTTTTCTCTTTCGTTAATTCATCTTAAAGGAAGGGTATTTTTGACAATTCACCAGGAGAAATCATTGGACCAAGTGAGGGAAATGTTAACGCATTGTGAACATGGTCTCCTCCCTTTTCCTTCAGAGAAGGGTTTGCAAAATAACTATATGTAAGTGCTTGATTCATATTTCATTTAATGAATTTTAAATTCGGCTTCAAATATTCAAAGAGCGAGATCTTCTCTTTCATGCAGATTTCAGAAAGTAGATAGGGATTTAGCCGTTAGGGCTGCTGCTGCTGCTATCTATTCGACATCCAATTTTCTACAACCTGCACAAAACCTACCAGGTTTCTGATCATTTTTGACCTAATTGATATCTGTAACAATTTGTCAATGTTTAACTTAAAGTTATATCAGGTTTCATGTTGTTGTATTTATTTCGAAGATAGAATTACAATGGAGCAATCGGATTTATTCATTTCAATAATTACTGATGTTTCTGTTCAATGATCAACATGAATCGATGATCATAATGTACAATTTACACGTTTAAGCTAAGTTTCCTGAAATTACAATTCATCTATTAGATTCAATGAATATTCATTGTAATAGCCAACAATCGTTGAACTGAGAAGAAGCACTTTTGCTGAAGCTATGGACCTTCATCAAACAAAAATGGGTGCAAAAAGGTCCCATTCCACCATTAACGCTGGAGGTTTTAAGCAAATAACAAGCTGATTTGCATCGATCTCTTCCTTTGAATCTACCTTGAATCAGCACTCCGAACGCTCTAGTTCCGTTCTCTTCCTCCAATCCATCGCCGGAATCGGCCGGATCTATCTTATCCTGGAGCTCTTCCACAAGTATGATTCCGTCAGGAGACGATGGTCGCTCTTTAACCACGTTCGGCCAGTCCTCCGCTTCAACCGCCTTCTCCGTTTTCACTACGCCGTCGGCGTATATCTGAACCAGCAACGGCGCTTGTCTTATGTTCTTCACGATTTCCGTCACTGAATTTCTCATCCATTCGTCAAATTTCTCAGAAACGCCGGGACTATCGCAACTACGATCGTACTCTTCGCCGTTAACAATCGCTTCGGCCGGCAATAAATCGAAGCTGGTTTCAACGAGAGACGAAGGCGACCTGGAAACAAGATGATCAGAAACACCCACAGCAGTCACGTTCCCAGTCGCCGCCGTCGAGATTCTCGAGAATGTTGATTTAACGGGGAGATTGGGAATCGACAGTGAATGCAGGTTGTTAAACCTAGAAACCCGAACCGACCGATCATCAAGGAAACCACCTGCCGGCTGGCGAAGTAAACAATCACCGGCTCCTCCGTACCGAATCCCTACACAGGCCATCGTTAGCAGCCGTCGACGGTGGTGCTAAAGAAAAAATAAACCATTAAGTAATTCTTCTTTTCTTTATTTCTAGTGGGTGAGAATCAAAGAGAACTGTCGTGGACAAAGAATGGCCATTAGATGGAGCAGTTGCATCACCTATGTTTGTCGCAGGTATGCGCGTGCCGCTTTTCAACTAACTTGTGTTAACCGCCGTTTTGATGACATGGCATTTCCTACATGGAATATACGTGTTTTGCTTTTTCATGCAAATCTACCACGTTATTTTTTTCTTTTTTATTTAGTGCTTGATTTTAGGGTTGGGTTATTCAAATAATCCAAATACCGATTAAGTGCTTCAACCCATTTGGTGAATTCGAACACTCATAAATTTAATAAATAACATAAAAATCTACCATACACACAAATATATACTTTTCAAGTTCTATAAATAATACACCAAAAATTTCAAAATTTTATAACTGCATCATAAAGAAATCAACTTAAAATAAAAAAAATATATATATGTTTAAATTATAAATTGGGGGTTTATAAACTAAATAAACATGACGAACGTTTTGGTTGAACTGTTTAATAAATCATGACGTAATGGTGTTGAACGTACTGTTATAACAAAACACGGGGAATGTTACATTTATTATGTCATAAAGTAAATTATACGAACTTGTGGATTCACAACCTAAATTATATAAAATATAGAAGGAAAACAAAAGTCTTCTAATCAAATTTTGCTCATCAAAACACTAGAGTATGTATACAAATTAATTGCAGTTAAAAAAAATCCAGATCCTATAGACAATTAGATCCCGCACAACCAGGTTATCAGAAAACATCTGTTCATCTGCAACAATTTTGTTCATATGCATGCATATCAATTTTTGTTTACATAGTCAACATTTTTAGCAATTGAGGCGAGCTTTACACGTTTTTGGTGTTAGGAATATGAAAACATATTGGGACTAGAAAATCGAAAGTGCTGACATGGAAAAACGAAGAGGGTATGTCGTGTCTTCAACAACTCAAGCAGTCACATGGGAAATGGGAGAGACGAACTATGTTGGTGATAGACAAGGGTGATTGTATTATGTGGTGCTCACATGAAGACGGGAGAGATAATGAAGGTGGTGACCCAAACAAGCGATAGAGGTGGTAGCCCGTGTTTCCGGCAGCAGCATGAGGGTGGAAGAGAAATTGGCGGTGGTAGCCTATGTCTCTATCGGTAACCGTAAAGGGAGGCTAGGTAATGAGAAGAGGATGAGGTGCCTTGAATGAAAATTAGGGTTAGGGAATTACATTTAACTACTTTGTCTTTTTAAAATAGTAATAAATTTAAGGTTAAGGGAAAAAAAAATCATTTTACCATGGTTAAGTAAAATTTAACACCATTAACGGGAGGAGCGAAATATATAACATACTAAACTATGAGGGTTTGTCAGAACAGAAAAAAAAAGTTATGAACTAAAAACGCAGGTTGTCAAAAACCATAGGAATGTTATATGACAAAAATGGAAATTATGAGAATGTTTCATTTACAATCAAATGTTTTGTGAAATTTAATATTAGAGATATTAATATTAAAATTGAGTGATCTTACCCCCACTTTGTGGGGGACGAAACCTGTCTAAATACGAAAGTGTAGGGTCCATATTTGCCTATATACAAAAATATTATGGCTAGAGTATGAAATCCAAAAAGTGTAGACATGCCTATATACTAAAGACTAAGGATCAAACTGGTAAATATACGAGAGCCTTGTGAATAAGTCTTAAATCCAAAAAATCTAGAGACCAAACCTACAAATATATGAAAGTCTTAGCTAAAGTATGAAATCCAAAAAAACATACTATTCATTTTATTGATTATAATTAGATATATATAATTTGTTATAGTGATGATGTTTGTTAGAGCATTAGGCATGTGTCCGTTGAGGTGATGTAATAATAACTTATAACATTAAGGGGGGAATGATGTTCATGATGTCATGACCATGTTATGAGTAAGTTAAAAGGAGAAAAATAAAGAGAAAAGAAATGTGCAACCAATCAATGTTTCCGTTTCAATATGTCATAACGCCAACAAGATATGTTATAACACTAAGGGGAAATGGTGTTCATGGTGTTATGACCATGTTATGAGAAGACATATCAGTAAAAATATCACTTCTCGTTGCCCATACCGTATGCTCTTACAAAATCTTCTTCACATACTCTTTGCCTTATACTTGGTTTCAATATATATATATATATATATATATATATATATATATATATATATATATATATATATATATATATATATATATATATATATATATATATATATATATTCCGTTGAAAACTCATAGTTTTTCGAAAATCCGAGAACTAAAGGTGGAGCGTTAGATCAAAATTAACTTATTAAATGCATGATCGTCATCTTACCAATCTCACCTACTGTTTATTTTTTTGTGTTATTGAAATATTAATAAAAATGTCTAAAAATAAACATAATAAATCAAAATTTTAGATTTTTAAAAAAATATTAATTTTCAATTTTTTTTAAAATGCAAGTTTTTAAATTTTTTTTAGTAAACATGAATTTTTTAAAAAAATGAAAAAAAATACTTTTTTTAAATCTACATTTTTTTAAAAACAATAATTTTAAAAATATATAAACTTTTAAGAAAAACTGAAATATTAAAAAAAACTACAATTAATATATATATATATATATATATATATATATATATATATATATATATATATATATATATATATATATATATATATATATATATATATATATTAAAATTGTCAATCCTTAGGAACGGTAAAGTTCCTAAGGGTTGGCAATATATCTTATTTTTTATTTGTATCTTTTTGTTAAAAAAAAAAGATTTCAATCGTTCAAAGTAGAAGTTTATGGTTTTTTGTTTATTTTCGTCTTTTTATTTTCTTTATTTGTCTTTTCCTTCTTTATTATATTTTATGCCTTTTGACATTTCCGATTCTGATTCTTATACATGTATTATGTTGAAAGATGCAAAATGAATATGATTATGTTCTATCTTGGTTGGTAATTTAGATACTAATAAACTTTAATATCCAAGTTGACAAAATTGTTTTAATCAAAACATGTTCTTCAAATAAAACTTTATTTAATTGATTTAATTCAAATAAGCTCTTTCATCAAATCATTAAATGACTTTAAGTTCTTGCAACAATTACCAACAATATTCAATATTCATCATAAGCTTGGGATTATGAACATTTAATCTTCGATTACACTCAGTTTGATTCAATTATAATCAATTAAGTGCATGTTACTAACATCAAATCGTAAAACATATACGAATTTTACAATTTGATTAACTAAATTGATAAAAACTCTAATTCATTGACCAAGTGAAAAAGAGAATCAACCAAACACATGATTAAGATCAAATCAAAGATTACTAGATGTTAAACACAAATCAAGTTCAAGTTACAATCTAACAACACATACTTAAGAATTAAGATTCGGAAATGATAATGAAATCAACCACACATGTCTAGCTTAAACTACAAATCAAACAAGTTAAATTTCAAATTGAATTACAAAAAGGAAATTTTAGTGTTTCCAAGTGTTAATCTCCTTCTAAAAGTTTTGAAAATCGCCTTCTTTCTGCCCAAAATCCGACTTAACTTCCCACTAAACTGATTGTCTGAATTATATGAGAGTAAAACTACTTTAATATTGTCGAGACGTTTACACGACTCGTGTAAACTAAAGGGTGCCATTTACACGACCGTGTAAACTAGAAAAGTAGAATGCTCAATCCATCCACACCTTCGAAGTAGAATGCTCCCGTATATGCGTTTACACGGTCCGTGTAACTAAGTCGAATAAACACTTTCAATCTGAAAATAAGAAGTTGAAGATAGCATTGGTTTGTAGCTTGGTGTTGTTCTTGGCAATTATTAATTATGAGTTGTAAGGTTTAGGTTTTTTGGTTAAGTTTGTAGTTCTAATGTCAATAAAGAGGGTGTAATCGTTGTTATGTTTTAACTTTTGAAGTTATAATTATATTATGTATGAAGATAATTTGTATCACAGTATATATAAAATTACTTTTCCTAATGAAATGGTTAAATTTATAAATCAAACATTTAGCTACATATATATCACATCCAACTACATAGGACCAACACACGATCCCCAATAAATTTTTGCCATCCTTCGACGAAACTCTAAAGCTGCATTTTTTTGGTCTATAAGTTCACATATTGGTTGTCCTGATACGAGTTGTTCCATAAACAGGAAAAAAAATACAACACAATCTCCCAACTCGCTACTTTGTTGGGGAACATTATCTTCGAGAGTAAATGTCATATTCAGTGGTCTCCATGGGATGTTCCTCCTCTACCAATAATTAATTTTGTCTAAAAAATTTCCACCCGCACCTCAAATGTGCTAAAAGTTCCATTTGACTCAAACTTTTCAAAAGTACTCCTAACGAAACTGTCATATAAATGGACTTCCATTGACTCCGATCGTAGTTCCCTAAACAACCAATGATTTGGATATGAATGAATCGACATATAAACCTGCACAAAGTTTAAAAAATAATTACTTATTAATATTTCGATACAAAAAATGATATTGGTGAATGTAATGTCAATAAAACTAATAATATACCCTATGCACATCCTACCAATGAACCATAATGTCGGCATATGTAGCTATCCCAGACAAAAATGCCCTCCAATCGTTACCATCTTCTAGAAGATAGCAAACTAAAAAGTTTGGAGACATTATGGTATACCAGTCAGCTTCAAACGTTTCTCCATCAACAGTCTAATCTAAACCGTGATATGTTGCGAAGGTTATGGTAGTTTTGTTATAAATCAATAGATAAAAATCACTTATAAGCATAAATTTATAAATACTTACTACTTCATCTAACCAACTGTTATCTGTATGCCGAAACAATGAACTCCAAAACTCTATACCTAATATCAAATTGTAGAATCTGTGTTCCATTGTAAAAGTGCGAAAAAAGATATTTTTCTAACACAACCTCACCGCCTGTTACGTAAGGCTGCAAGCGTAAAACTGAATTGTCATGATCAATAGGGGATATTAGACGAGGAGGTGGTGTTGATCTGGTAGCAACCTTCTTCTCTGCTCTTCGCTTTGGCTTCGGCGTCGTGGTATCTAAAACATTTATATAATTATTTTATTAATGTTTTCCATAAACAAATTCTTTCCATATTAGCTTTTAATGTATACATGTGTGAAAGGACTACGCAAAACTATGATGGATTACGAGGCTTAGGGCTACCAGATGGTGTAGCTTCATTATCATCCGAAACATTTTCATCAAAGTGATTTCTAGTCCTTACAGTTATTACCTCGTCGTCTAACACCTACATCAAAGTGATCTATAGTCCCTACAATTATACCTCTTCGTGTAACATCTACATTAACACATTATAATTACTAATAAAATATACATATTTATTAACAAATTATACCATAAATACATTGTATAATATTATTTTCAGCTTCATTATCATCCAAAACATCATCATTGAAGTGATTGATGTCCGACCCCTGCCTTTGACACCTTTTTATCTAACACCTACATTAATATGTTTAAATTATTAATAAAATATACCTATTTATTAACAAATTATATCATAAATATACGATATCACTAACATTTTCATCAAAAGAATAATTTGTACGAAATTTTGCCGGTTCATAAAATTTATGTTGTTCCATAAACTTTCCTCGTTCACTTCTTCCATGTTCACTTCGATGCGTTGTCGGTTTAGATACATCACTTGCTCGAGTAAAATTAATCTATTGACCAACTCTTTTAAACTTGGTTTCCCACTTTGTCTTGCTCTGGCTTCGGATCATCCACCAGACGATAGACTACACGATGATTCATCTTGCCTCATAAAATGGTTCCGTACTAATAGAACTGAAGGCGGTTCACCATACACATAATCTTGACATGACATATAATAAGAAGATCGTATCCCCTCATCGCTTGTTGTCATCCTATGTCTTGGTTTCTGTCCCTCCTAAAACAAATAAACATATATATAATGCTAGTAAAAGTTCAAACAAAATATTTAAAGAAATAAAAAAAAATATACAAACCTTTGTCACATCAAAACCCATTTCAATTTTTCTAACGCACTCCAAGGCTTCATCCGAGGTGTATCTTTGTTCATACGCAACACGTGAGTACCTCAAACATATGGAAACATCTAATAAATCCAAATCTCTAATTTTTTAAATTATATTAATAATGATTAAAAACAACTAAATTACTTGTTAAAGTTTTTAAATGTATACCCTCAATGGTGCCGTAAACCCTGAGACCCAATATTTGAAAGTTTGACGAGACTCGAGTAGTGATAAATATTTATTGATTTTGTTTCATGTATCCTCAAGATCATCGTAGATGAACTCCTACAAGTAACTACCCCAAAGCAAAGCTACAATATAATTTTTTTTTATTAGAATAAACTTTATCATAAATAAATATAAAATTTTAAATTCCACAAATAATACATGTTCCACACATCCAAGTTCTCAAAAAAAAAAAAAAAAAAAAAAAAAAAAAAAACCCCTCAATCTTGTGGCACACGATCATTTGCTTCTTTCCCCAATAACTCTTGACACAAAACGTATATGAGACATGCTCTAACTGTATCATCATCGGTAGCAGCTAAGAAGGATTGGTATAAAATGAAACATTTTAAATCACTGATTTTCATAGAATTATTTGTATGGTTCGGAAAGAGACGTAACCGCAATAAACATCTTTTTTTACTACTATTTTTTTCTCTACCACTTTTTTTTCTATCATTTTTGGATAGACTACAAAATTAAATCCGGTTATCAAACAAACTCTTCAGGGCCATAAACCATTTTAGTATCTATCACTTTAAAATACAACCGCTTTATGCTATCTGAAAATACTACTAAGTTTGACCGTATATGATGAAGAAACATTTTATGAAATAACAATCCGTCTCCTTGTAATTGAGGGACGTCCAACAAATAATCAAACACAGTACTTTTAAATGTTTCTTGTCGGATACCATTTAATACTTCAAATACTTCCCATATAGTACATCCTGATCCTTTTAGATTTACCACAACTTTAACATTAAGATTTTTAGAATCATGTTTAAACAAGGTAAGTTGTTATTTGCAACTATAACAAATATTTAAAAAAACTGTCAAATAACATATTATTATAACAAAATGCAAAAATATATAAACTATTATATTTACACAACCTCGTCAATTACTATTAAAAAATAAATCAAATGTGTATTTGTAATGATATCTAAATTACATTGTATAATATGTTCTTTTCAATATTTTCTATAATACAAATATAAGCATATTACATCAAAATTTGAATATTTATAACATAATAATAGCATCAAAATGTTATAATAATAACATCAAAATGCATTTTTATAACATAAACTATATATACCACCTCACAAATGCAAATGTACAACATCAAGAAGCAGCAAAAATCATTTTTATATCAACAATTCATATTGTTACAACATATTAACACATTTATATAACATGTTAATATAAAAGTACCAAGTGTACAACCTCACAATACATGATTTATGCATTTCTACAATCATAGATTCAAGTATGAAATACTATCAAAACATCAATGCTACTTATGAAATCTTGTAAATATCAAATGTAACTTGTAGATCTAAAAAAATCAAATGGGCAACACCTTATATTTTCATTTTTTTTTGAAACTTTTTTTTCTGATAAATCATAAATAAACAAAACCTAAAATTGACAAATGATGATTAAAACACAAAATAAGTAAAAATCTTGCCATATTGATGAGATTGTTCATGAAATCGTCCATAACATGAGGAAATCAAAGATGGGGAAATCCAAAGAGAGAGTTCTCCGAGCAAAATTTAGAAAATGAAAGGAAAAAATTACCTTTTTATACCCTCAAAAAGGGAAAATCACAAATTGTATAGGCAAACCGCGAGTCTATCTGCAAACGTATAACTCTTAAAACGTATTTTTGCTTTATTGACTTGTACATTTGCAGAGGATATAGGCAAATAGTAGATGAACTTAATTCATCTACGATTTTAATGACTATTTTTATAATATGAGTTTCTTTTGATTATAGTAATTAACGAAAACGACTACTATATTTTGTTAAGCTTAGAACATACTTAGGCCGTCCGGTATGGTTGCAACGGACGGGTTCGTGGTGTAGCTGGCCACGAACTACGACCGTGCACACCATCCCGGTGGCTAGTGGTGGTTCGTGGTCGTGATGAGCCGTGGTCGGGACAACGAATGCAAACGGAAATTGTGATTGGGTGGCACAGTAACGGTCATATTTTAGGGTTAAAATCTTTTTTTTTTTATTTTAAAAAATTACTATTCAAACAACATTAAACCACTTCTATAAATACCACACTTATTCATTCATTTTACTCACACAATTCTTTTCTTCTTCTCACAATCTCACACTTCTTTTGCTTCATAAACTCAAAGCTAATGGCTCTTAAAATGATGAATTGATCAGAAAATGAAGAAGAGAACTTAACATTAACCTGGGTAGCTGTTTCAGAAGACCCAGAAATACCTTGCTTCATAAACTCAAAGCTAATGGCTCTTAAAATGATGAATTGGACAGAAAATGAAGAAGAGAACTTAACATTAACCTGGGTAGCTGTTTCAGAAGACCCAGAAATACCTCCTAATTTTTGGGTAAAAGTTGGAAATGTTTTCCATAATTTAATGGGTTGCCAAAGTCGTAATCTTGATGAAATATGTTTCAAGTTTCGCGACATGAGGGTAAAATGCCTTGAATTCAATGAGATTTATAATTTTGTTATAAACAACGTGGACGAAGTCGACCCGTTTGTTGTGGCTATGCACCAATATGAAAACACGAAACATACGCCGTTTAAACACGTTAAAGCTTGGCGAAAATTAAGAGAGTCCCCAAATTTTAGTCATTAAAAATAACGGTTTAAAACTAGTTTAAGTTCTTTGTGGTTGCATTTTTATTTTTTATTATTAATATTTTTTTTATTTTATGTTCTGTGTTTTAAATTAATGTAATCTTTGTTTCATTGAATAAAAAACTAATTTTAAAAAAAATATATATGTTTTATTGTGTTTGTGAATTAAATTCAAATAAAAAAACTAATTTAAAAAAATATATGTTTTATTGAATATAAAAATATGTTTTATTGAATAAAAAACTAATTTAAAAAAATATGTTTTATTGTGTTTTAATGTATTTTTGAATTTAATTTAAATAAAAAATGAGGTGGAGTTGTGTGTTTAGTAGTAAGTATCACATAGTTAATAGTAGAAAATGTGGTGCTGATATGACATCTACCACATATGTTATATGTGGTGGGTATAACGGATGTTCTTAGTTCTATTTTCATCATCAAAATTAATTTTGTCCATACAATTTGTTAGCATTTTATAAAATTTAACTAAAAAGTAATTAGTGTTTTATGATTTGTCAAATACAACAAATCTTGGGTTCAGTTCGACTTAAAATTGCCAAATTTGGGGAAACGGTGGATGCTCCCACTTCCATGAATTAGATGAAGGCAATGGAGGATATTCCATGTGGTGACGTGGCTGGATCTCAACGCTTAGTTTTACCGAACCCTTTCATCGTCTATTTCTTTGGAGGCGTGCTACTACTGTGTGCCTTTCATAAAAATAAGTAAAATAACCGTATTGAAATATACATATTTAATATTATTATCTTATCTACGTTACACTAACTTTGTATCGAAATAAAATTGTGTATTGGTTCAAAACTTCAAATTCATAAGCCATACATATTAAAATTGAAAATTTGATACACTGGTTTCAACCCACAATATTTTTAATTTATAACTATAAAAAACTGTTTTTAAACTCCAAATGATAATTCATTATGTTTATTAAATTATATTAACGAAAGTATTCATATTTTAGAAAGATGTTTTGAGAGATGATCTTTGCATGTAAGGTTTAAAAACTAAGTAAAAACACAGTCTTGTTATGATGCGTATTATTTTTCCATGATTATATTACTTTTAATATTATATATAATTTTGTTCTTCACAACGAATTTATTTTTATTTTAGTGTTTATTTTTTTATCATTGACATATCACAATGTTAAAAGATTTAAGATATCACTGATAATCTGATATGATATATCTAAATAAAAAGAAAACAGAAACCATCTTTTTTTTTTTTAAAATGTTTGATCGATCTATTCAATTTTCATGACAAGCATATCTATTGTAATTATTAAACTCTTAACTCAATGCTAATTAATGTTACGTGTTTTAGGAATATTGAACTTCATTTACAAGTACAGGTTTAATTGCTTTAGCTAATTATTACAATGTATAATTATACATCATCAACTAAATGACTAATTTTTCTACTTTTTTTTTTTTTTTTTTTTTTTCAAATTACTCAGGTTCGAAATTACTTATGTTGTTATAAAATAAACTAACACTATTAAACTTCACACATACACGATTGAATGTTTATTAATATATGAACTAAATATCTATAATATATATATATATACTACTTTATTTTATTTATTTTAAAAAGCAATGTCACGTACAAAGTTTACCAACCAAAGTTTTGAGTGACTGGAGGTTGCTAAATAGGCAACGTAGTTTTCTTATTTAAACATCGGTCTCACACATTATTTTTTCCATCTTTCCATCTGCTCTTTTCTCCATACCAAAGAGTTTTATAATCCATTTTTTTTCGATATCCTTCATCGGTAAATATTAACCCTTTTATTGTTTGTTTATTGATACATTTTTATTAACTCATTTCTTGTATTTAATTAATTGGCAATTTTGGAATTCATAAACTTAAAATTTTGATGGCTTTTGTATAGTGTGTTCAAAAATGGTGATGGTGGATGATATCTCCTTTCCTCCACATATCACAACTACCAAGCCTTTATCTTTGCTTGGATATGGTATTTTTTATATATTTTTAAATATTAATTAATAGTTAATATGAGTTATTGAAAAATTAAAATCTTTTCATATTTTACAAACAGGTCTTACCGACATCGAGATACACTTTCTGCAAATTAAATTCACTGCTATCGGAGTTTACATTGATCCTGAGATCGTCGCTCATTTGCAAAAATGGAAAGGTAAATCTGGATCAGAGTTGGCCGGAGATGACGAGTTCTTCGATTCTCTTATTTCAGGTAATATTTGAACTTGAAACTTGAAAGTAACATTTGATACTTGAATTTGTTTTTGATTTAGCCCTAATTTTAGTTGAATCTATGTAGCACCTGTTGACAAGTACTTGAGAATTGTGGTGATCAAGGAGATCAAGGGATCACAATACGGAGTACAACTGGAGAGTGCAGTGAGGGACCGATTAGCGGCTGATGACAAGTACGAAGAGGAAGAAGAGGAAGCCCTGAACCAAATTGTTGAGTTTCTGCAGGTGAAGTACTTCAAAAAAGATTCGGTGCTTACTTTTAGCTTTCCGGCGACATCAAACACTGCTGAGGTAAGTGAAGATGGTGTTTGATGAGATGAAAATCTGTTTGATGAAATGCTTTTGATCATTAATGTTTGTTTTGGTGAAATGATTTACAGATTGGGTTCTCGAGTGAAGGAAAGGAAGAACCGAAGACGATGAAGGTGGAGAACGGGAATGTAGTGGAGATGATGAAGAAATGGTACCTGGGTGGCACCACGGCGTACTCTCCTTCGACCATTTTATCTTTGGCAAACTCTTTCTCTTTGGAGTTGTCTAAATAAATTAAATTTGGATCATCGTCTTCTTCTCTGTGTGTATCCAAATCTGGTTGAATTGTGTCTTCGGGCTGTGATCTTCTTGTCTTTTGATAATCCAGAATAATAATATAGTTTCAAATCAAGGTTGATTTGGGTTTATTTATTTTTGTTTGGACAATTTAAACTGCTCATGAACTCGAATTATTTGGCCCTCGAAATAGGGTGGTTAATACGATTATGTGGTTTGTCTCATTATCATAAAGAAAAGAAAACGGTTTGTTACAGAATAAATGCTTCACAAATAACTTTAGTTTAAAGTCTACCAAACAATATACATTATATAGTCCTTCTCTGGCAAAAATAGGAATTGTTACTTCTCATTGGTATTATTATTTTTTTTATCATCACAACTTCTTTAATTTAAAATAGGGGGTAATCAAACAATACTATATTCAGTTTTATGGGTATGATCTGTTCCGGCTCCTGCTTTGAAAATTTTAATAAAAATAAGATTGTCCTTGTGGTTTGTCTTTTTCAGGGTTACCCTCTTTGTAGTCTCAAAATTGGAAATTTGGTCATTTTCAAATTTCAATATGTTTTATTGTGGTTTTGCACACGGAGATAACTCATGTTCATTAACACGCTCCATATGTTTTCTATGCGAGGGTAACATAGTCTTTTCATGTAATAGACTAGAACCATGTAAGTCTAAGGCCCGTTTGGTAGCATCTTAATGCCTCTTAATAAGAAACAGATCTGAATCTTTTTTATTCAGACCATTTGGTTACTTCTTATATTTGCATCTGAATCTGAAAATATCATCTTATTCGGTCAGACATAGAGCCGCATCTGAAAGGAAAAAAAATGAACGCGTTTCCTTTTTTCCCTAACTCTACCCTTGTCTCTCTTCTTCCGTCCATCGAACACCAACCCCCCGTCTCTTCTGCCTCTGCATCTTTGACGTCACAGAGCACCGACGACGCCCTCGCACCACCAGAGTCGACGTCGCACACTATCCCATTGTTGAAATCGAACCTTTGCCAAGCTCTAAATCGAAGCCCCCACTGAGATAAACGGTCTTTATGATGTGAAATCGAAAATTGTTGTGAGCTTATTATATCCGATTTTCTGAGATGTGAAAACAGAAATCAATTTCATATTATGAACTATCAAACGCAGTGTCCTCCATTTCAATGTTTTCCATTTTTCTATGAATATCCATAAATAAGAACTCTTTGATTCTCTGTTGTTGATTCTCTGTTGTTACTTTTAAATCTGAGTTTCTGATTCTATTTTTTACTTCATTTGTGTAATTTGGGTTTCGTTCAAATGTTTATGTCATTTAGGTTTTGTTTAAAGGTTCATTTACTTGCTGGGAATTTTTAAGCTTATCATAATTTTAATTTACATATTTTTTCTGGTTGAATTGTCAGATACAATTGGATTTTATGGAAGTACTTTTGTGTTCATTTATTTTTTCCTTTTTGTTTATGTTGATGTATGCAGATGAATTTGTTCCTTCATGTTTATGTTGATGTATGCAGATTTCATCACTAATTATGTAGAGCTTTGAATTATATTTGATTATGCAGCGATTTGTCATATACATTTACAATCACTTATCAAACTTGTTATATCTTTTAAACATCTTCATTTGCTAACTGTTTTGTCTGGGTTTATGGTTAATTGGTCGAGTTTAGAAGGTCGTTTTTTTGGGGATTTTAGGTGTTTAATGCAGCATATGTGAAAACCAATTTCTGGTTGTTTTTTTTTGCTCTTTGTACTAATAAATATCATTTAAGGGTAAAATGATCAGTTTTATCATTTAACACTGCAATTCAGATGTTCTAACCAAACAACATTCAAAAATTTAAAAATTCAGATCCTCTTAGAAATTTAGACCTCTTAGATATTCAAATCTTAAAAATTCAGATGTTGCCAAACAGCCCCTAAATCTGCAAACCATATGAACAAAATTTGCAATTTTTTCAAAAACTTTTTAAATTCCATAAAAAAATATAACAACCCAAAATGAGTACTAAACTTTTTTATTTAAAAACCGTTAATTTTCAATCATTAATTGTATCAAAAACCATCATTCATTACAGTATTCTAAAATATCAAAGTGCAGATACATCAAGTGCGGAAATCATGTAGCGAGGATGTTGTGTCATCACATCGGGGCATTCCCTTTTGAATTGGAAGTACGTGAATAACTACGAGCCAAAATACAACATATAGTTGTGTCGGGTTCTAATCAACCCTCGGGTCCGTATTAACCCCGAGTCCGTAATGACTCCGAGCCCATATAACTCAATGCATAAATCATACAAGCACAACAAACATAATCATATGATAACATACAATTCTACTCATACAATACAATGGGTTAGCCTTGGTGCCTTTTGTAACATAACGTTTTAGAAAAACATTTATGAAAAAACATCATTAAGTCATATCATTTCATAAACCATCATCAAGTCATATTATTTCATAAACCACAATCACATGTCTTAAAACCATATCATAAAAATAGTAATTATATAAGAGTACAATCCCAAGAATCTCATAATACAGAAATCCGGTGTGTGTGATGCGTTGCTACCATGCCAGCTTCTTCCCCTTCAATGAAGAGGTACCTGAAAACAAAACTAAAATTTGTAAGCACGAAACTTAGTGAGTTCCCCCATCATACCACATACCATACATAACACATACTGTCATGCATATCTGGACCCGACCTACCCTGCTGAGCATACCGGGTTGCTTAACCTACCCTTGCTAGGCATACCGGGGTGCCTAACCTACCACTGTCAAACATATCGGGGTGTCCGACCTACCCCTCCGGTTTATTTCAACCAGTTACGTGGACTATTTCACCCCTACTACTACCACATAAAAACATAACGAAATCATACTGTCAGGCATACCGGGGTGCCGACCTACCATTTGGTCATATCGACCGGATATGAGGACTATTTCCCCTACTGTCACTATCACATTACATCATATCATACTAGCACATGAAATGTAACAGATAGTGGCAAACCAGACAATTATCACAAAGACAATCATCTCAACTATAATCAACTACTAGTGGGTCGGTATTGGTGTCTTCGATCCATTCCTACTGGAAGTTAACTCACCTCAATGTCGTGAAGTGTCTGAACTGTCCTCGTTGCCAGAATTAACTCCTTTCAACTCCTACACATAAAAATCTTCCTTAATTACCATTTCATACTCTTAACCGCTTTCAGGGGTCAACTTAGGTCAAAGTCAATGTCAACACCTTGGGCAAAGTCAACTCTAGGTCAAATTCAGCATCTGGTTGACTCAACTCGCCGAGTTGATCCACCAACTCGCCGAGTTCCATAATCCTTAGAATGCTAAAAGCTTTGACCCTACTCGCCGAATCTTTCAAGAACTTGCCGAGTTCTCCTTCATACAAAAGCGAGACCTTCTACAACTGACTCACCGAATACATCCTTGAACTCGTCGAGTCCTGATTCTTGTAAGTTGGCACGGTCAATCCTGGACTCGCCGAGTTCTCCATGAACTTGTCAAGTTCTTCTTCACGCAGTTGGGACTTAGTCTTGAACTCACCGAGTTTGTTCTTGAACTCGCCGAGTTCCACGATCTTCCGGTCTATAAACGAACCCAACCGGCTGAGTATTCATCCAACTCAACACATTGCTCGTTGTCAGAAGAGGTTTGGGAGAAACTGCGACCCGACTCGCCGAGTCGTATGAGCGACTCGCTGAGTCCATCCATGTCCAAAACTATTCAGTCGAGTAGACCTTTCAAAATGAAAATAATGTTGTAAAGTTTATACCAGAGAGTCGGGTGTTACAGGTAGCAGGGACTTCTTACACAGTTGATGGTGGAGAGTGGATTAGAGAGTTACCCTAGGGTAAGCCTAGGATGAGAATAGTACAGCGAGCAGTAGCAGTAAGAAGGACTTGGTGAAGTCAAGGAAATCTTTGAGGAAAGCACGGATAGATGTGTAAGGTAGTATGGGCACGTATTACTGAAAGTAGAGGATCCGTACTCCAGTCAAGGAGGGCTGAGATAGAACCAGGGAACTTGTAGAGTGTGTGAGACTTCTTAAGATTATGTGTGACCCTAACGATTATGTGTTTTGTTTCAGAATGTTGGTGACACGTTTCGGAGAAGGAGGTTTAGGGTCCGGGTCAGGATCAGGTTCGGGTTCGGGTGCAGGTTCCGAGCCGGTTGATGACGGACTACGCGAATTCATCGTGTCGGAGATTACGAGAGGCATCCTTGAGGCGATCCCGATGATTTTCGGGTCGGTCAAGGAAGGGATCATTGAGTTGATGGAAGAGCGTCTCAGGGCATTCAGGAGAGACATGGCATCTGTCCAGACAGGGACACACACACTCTCCTTTAAGGACTTCAGGGGATGTGGTGTGTCAGACTTCCACGGGGTGAAGAAGCCCATGGTTGCTAGGAGGTGGATTGCAGACTTCGAGTCTACACAGTTGACGAGCTTCTTCCCTGAGGGGTCGAATACTTCTTGGACCGAGCCTACTCTCGCTTCTCAAGGACCGAAACCTCGCCTCTGACCTAGGATTTTCGCAAAATTGCTTCTTTCTTCCCGGTTTTCGAGTACTTTCGCGTTTTAAGCCCATTTTTCATGATTTTAACATAGGATTTTCACCCAAACTCATATTATGACATATAAGACCCTATATATTCATATTTTAATCACATTTTGTGGGAAATATTTATCTAAGAATAATATCTTTTGTGTAAGATATTGATTTGGAGTGTTGACTTTCCTATAAAGTAATGACACAAGATACCTCCCATACCCACTCTATGACAACCTCCAGTCACTATTCATCTCTAGCTAGTCAACTATTTGTCCTCTCACACTCTTCTCCAACAAGTTATCTTGATCAAAGGCTGGAAAATCCTTATCTCTCCTCCCACCTTCTTCACTCTTTCACCAAAAAGCAAACACATCACTCTCTCAAAATCGAGATTTTAAGGGCTAATCTCAAGCTTTTCATCTACTTTTAGAAATTATCTTCATCCTCTCTTATGTATTTTACACTCCTTCACTCAAATCATGGATCTCCCATACAAATATCATCATATTTGTTCTTAGGATCTTCAAATATTCAAGCAACTTCCAAGTGTTCTTGACTTAGAAACCACTTTCCTTCAACATTCATCTCAGGGAATCACTCAAGGTGAGTTCATACCCCCACATTTTCATGTTTTCTTTAAGTTTTATGAGGGGGAATACAAGTTTATACACCAAAAAC